ACTCCCACCACTGCTCTGTGCAGTTCCCTTCTCCTCCAGAGGGGGCGCTCTCAGTAGTGTAGCAGTGGGAACAGGAGGCATGTCTTTACACAGAGAGTAGTGGTGGTGTGTGTGTGGATCGTACTGCCCAGCTGAGCTGCTGAAGACCGACTCTGCAGGGTCCTTTAACTCATTCTGGTTCTGGATGGGTCCAGTGAGAGTGTGGGCCGGGCCGCAGTGGAGCAGCTCCTCTCCTCTGGACTCCAGCAGAGACCAGGCCCCTCTGTGTGTGGTCACTCAGGTCAGTGTCTGGTCACTCAGGGAGTCACTCTGTGTGTGGTCAGTCTCACTCAGTGTGTGGTCAGTGAGGTCAGTGTGTGGTCATCAGGCACTCACTCGGTGTCTGGAGCTCCAGTCTGTACTCTCCGGTCCCTGAGCTCACAGGGTTGGTGGCTGTGCACTGATAGGTTCCTGCATCAGACTGCTGCAGGAGGTGAAAGGTCACTGTGCTGTTGTCACTAGAGAAGCTGATGCTGGGGCTCGGGGTCAGAGTCTGGCTCTCTTTCCTCCACTGTCTGGAGCTCACAGTGCCAGAGCCAAGAACCTCACAGAACAGAGTCAGAGTCTTATTTAGCTCTGGTGTCTGGCCATCCTTCGGACCCACACGGACAGAAGATATCGGCCCTGAGGGCAGAACAGGAGAGTTAGAGAGGGGTCTGGCAGGACTGGGGTGTCACTCCTGGCCACGACTGAGGTCTCGGTGCTCTGGAGGTGAGTACGAGGCCTCACTGTGTTCTGACTGAGTTCTAGACCACTGAGGTTCTGGTCACCTGCTGGTGCCCCACAGTCCTTGTGTACTGACCTGGAGTACAGCTGGAGTGCAGACTGTCCAGCTGTGTCCAGCTGCTGTGTGCAGCCGCCCGCAGGGTCACACCACCAGGCCTGTCCAGACCACTCTGACCTGTGACCAGTGAGTGACCAGTGACACTGTGCTCAGGCTGGGACAGGCCCAGTGCTGGGAGGGACAGTGGGGCAGCACTGGCAGGACAGGAAATCGAGTTGGGGAGCAGGAAGTGGCTCTTTCAGCTCCTGAGCTTTGACCATGATTTTATTGTGCTTTTACCATGATCACACTGGGCTTCACTGCACTGTATCTTGATTTTACCCTGATCTCACTGCGATTTACTGTACTGTGATTTCATCCTAGTTTCACTGATTTTACTTTGATCTTGCACACAGACTTGTGTCACAGACTACAGGAAACTCTGATCAGGATGTCACAGACATTTACCAAAAATGTTCCAGCTGGTCCCCAGATGTTTGATGTTTCTAAGTGGGAGAAACAGAAATGAACACAGAGCTGTTCCTATTGCTCTGAGCTCAGTCTGGACTCCTGCTTCAGAGCCGAGAGGAAAAACAGGCTGATCTGCTGTGAGAGTCGTCTCTCACTGACCCTCTACTGCTGCCCTGGAGTGACCTGTCCGTCATGTCACTCTGTGGTCATTCTGGTGCCCTGTTTCCGCTGTGATCACTCTGGTGCAGCTGCAGGCCCTGTTGCCCCTGTTGCCCCAGCCCGTGGGGAGGTGGGGACTTACCCAGCACAGTTATCTCCCTCCCTACAGCCTCGTATCTCAGGGTTCGATTGTTGTGGCTCCAGCAGGTGTAGTTCCCACTGTCTCTCTCCTGCAGGCTGACAAAGCGCAGCTCCTGACTGGTGCTGTCAGTCAG